TGATACTTGAAAAGAAAGAGAAAGATCAAAAGAAATCAGTTCTATTGAAGGTGCTTTATGTTCCAAAATTGGCTACTAATCGTTTCAGTGCACGAGCAGCTGCATCCAATGGGAAAGTTGTACAATTTGGGCATACCCTATGTTGGATCAAAGATTCTGAGGGACAAGTTGTAGCATGTGGTCGACTAGTTGGGAACATGTACCGACTGGACTGCAAAGTTGATAAATCGGGAAATCAAGCATCAATTGCGAATGAAAATTGCACCAAATTGGATCTATGGCACCAGAGAATGGCACATTTGAATGTTGGCCAAATGAAAACCATGGTTTCAAAGGAAATCTTCACAGGTACAGACATACCAGGAACTGGCAAGTTAAGTTTTTGTGAAGCTTGTGCGGAAGGAAAGGCCCACAGAGCGCCATATAAACCAGTGGGAGAGATTCAATCAACAAAATTAGAATTGGTCCACAGTGATGTTGCCGCCCAAGGAAAACTGAAAGTTTCGGAGGAGCAAAGTACTTCGTCACGTTTATAGATGATTACTCAAGATGTGTCACTGTCTATCCGATAAAGCACAAGTCTGAAGTACTCAGAGAGGCAGTAGTCACCAACCAAGCAGATTGTAAGATTAAGACACTTCGGACAGATAATGGTGGCGAGTATACATCCACAGAGTTTGCAGATTTTCTAAAGGAGAAAAGAATTCGCCATGAGATCACAGTACCGCATTCACCTCATCAGAACAGAGTAGCTGAGCACATGAATCGGACACTTCAAGAAGCAGCTCTCTCTACGATTCTGCATACTGGACTGTCCAAAGCCTTCTGGGCAGAAGCAGTTTGCGATGCAGCCTATGTTAGAAACCGAGTGATCACGACTGCAACTGCGGTAACCTCTTACGAAAGATGGTATGCAAAGAAGCCAGATCTGTCGAATCTTCATGTCTTCGGTGTTCTGCTTACGCTCATGTTCCGGATGCTTCTCGCCAGAAGCTTGATCAAAAGGCAATCAAGATGAGATTCGTGGGCTACAGCCTTACACAGAAAGGATACAGGCTATATGATGAGAATCGACAAAGAATCTTTGTTCGCAGAGATGTTACTTTTAATGAAACAGACTTTGGGTCTACAAAAGTCCAAATGAAGTGCGATGAAGATAGTACAGGATGTGTCGAAGACAAAGTGGAGTCAAAAGGCGAGGATGAGAAAACCGTGCAAGATCAGCAAGATCTCCAAAAGGAACCTCGACGCTCAGAACGAGAAAGAAATCCACCTATTTACTACCACGATGAGAATGCTGGAGTCACCACAGCCAAGTATACAGCACTTTATGTAGTTGAAATTGAAGAGCCAGAAACGTTAAAGGACGCTCTTGACAGTGAGTATGCAACAGAATGGAAAGCAGCTGCAGATGCTGAGTACCAGTCTCTGGTGATGAACTGATATACTTTATTATTAGTATTTATATTATGTTGAACAGTTTTAATTAGGATTAATAAGGACACTTAGGATTAGGCACGGACAGTAGAGGCATTGAGGGATACTGTGGGATAAAGTAGGATAGAGGGAGGACAAGATGGCGGCATAAAGAATGTAAGCTATTTTTCGAGAGGATAAAAATATAACGTGTAAAAGTAAGAATATATTTGGCGACGAGGATGGGATAAAAAAATAAACAAAACAAAGCAACAAAACCAACTCGTACAACTCGGGCATCTATACACCTCGTAAGAAGATAAATTCATCGGACACGTAAGCGAACATATCGTGCGGTTAATATATATAAATATCAACAACATCAAAATTACAATGTCAATGGCTAGTGGCCATACGCTTCACTTCGACCCAGATCTTCACCCAGATGATACGCTAAAAGCTTTTAATGAATTTATACAATCATTCTACCTACGTTACGAAGCACAATACCCTGATCCACCAAAAGTGTCTATTGACGCTGCAATTGAACGATGGAAATTAGCCAACGAAGACGCCAAACCAACTCTGGAACAATACGATACGCTCAGGAATGAGTGGAGATCAAAAGATCGAGTTGCAAAATTTCTTGGAATGTTTTCTTCGAGACGAATGTACGCGGATTGGCAAGTTGCCGAACCCAATGTAACAAAACGAGCACAGGCGACATGGGAGTCTTTCGTTGCCCAAATGCAAGCATATTATAAGCCAACAGAAAACTCTACACTTAAGAATCACCAGTTCCGCACACTTACTCAAGCCACACAGGAGGCATTCCCTGCGTTCTGTAATCGTGTGTACAAAGAAGCCCAATACTGCACCTTCAAATGCCACAATGATGACTGCACGGCAGAAGATACAGCAATTCGAGATCAGATAATTATCGGTACAATCCATGACAAGATCAGAGAAGAGGGCCTCAAGAACTCTTGGGACCTACAAAAACTACGAAAAGAAGGAATGCAAATCGAAAGTGCAACTAAAGGGGTTAATGAGTTAAATACTGAGAACCCAATTAACAAAATGGGGAAATATTCTTATAAAAACTTGAAAAAGAAACAGCAAACAGGAAAACCACGAACATGCTACTACTGCGAACAAGACATTAAAGTATCTATAATAGAACATGTCAAAACCTGTAGAGCGAAAACCAGCAAATGCAATTTCTGCGATACAATTGGGCATTACGAGTCTGTTTGCAGAAAAAAGAAAGCTGTCAGAGAACTGACAACCATCAACCCAGAATCGCAGCCTCGAGATGAGGAAGACGCCGAAGAATCTGGTATATACAACATCAACATCTTCAGAGTCACCGATACTAACCCATACCAACAACACAATACCAGTCAAAGAAGGAAGGAAGATTTCAAAGTGCAAGTCATTGTCAACAATAGCCTTGCTACTGTCTTAGCGGACACTGGGGCAAGTATTAGTGTTTGCGGAAAGGCAGAAGCTAAACGATGGAATCTTCTTTCGAGAATGGTCAAGACCCAAGCTAAAATCAAACCATACAACAGCCCTCCCATACCAATTTCTGGCACCACTAAATGCGCCGTAACGTTCGGAAATTCATCCATCCCAGTAGAATGGCACATTATCGACAACCCCTGCGAACCAGTACTTGCAGGACGAATCGCAGAAGAGCTTGGTATCATAAAGTTTGACGCCAAACCAACAGTTTTTCAACCTGTACAAATGATACACTCGACTGACAATAAAGAAACACTGCAAAACATTTTGCAACAGTTCCCACAGAATTTCAAAGGCTTGGGGAAGTTGAAGAACCACCAGGTCAAGCTCCATGTAGACACCAGCATTAAGCCAGTCACCACACCTGCCAGACCAGTGCCATACCACTTGAAGGAACGTGTCACGAAAGAAATCGAAAAGATGATTAAACAAGACGTGATCGAGGAACACCCAGCCACAGAACCAGCCCCATGGATTTCCAATGCCGTGATAGCGCCGAAAGCCAACGGAGCAATACGTATGACACTTGACGCTCGTAACGTTAATAAAGCCATACAATCGTCCAACTTACCCATCCCCCGGCAAGAAGACATCAAAGCCAAACTCAGTGGAGCAAATGTGTTCTCAAAGATGGACTTTAAATCGGCTTTCTGGCAACTAGAACTGCACCCGGACTCGAGATATTTGACAGTCTTCCACGCAAATGACAAACTATACCGATATAAACGTCTCACCATGGGAGTAAAGCCTGCACAAGGAGAACTTAACATGGCTCTTCAACCCTTGTTTGCAAACATCCCCCAAGCCCACCTTATCCATGATGACCTAATCGTGGCAACCACAACAAACGCAGAACACAACGAAGCAATCGAAGCCGTCATGACCGCCATATCAAACGCCGGTATTACACTAAACCCGGATAAGTGCACGTTCGGAGTACCAGAAATCGAATTCTGGGGCCTACGTATTGGATCAGATGGCGTACGACCCGATCCGGCCAAAGTTGAAGCTCTTGACCATATGACACCGCCACAATCCAAGGAAGAGTTGACAAGTTTCCTGTGCATGATGCAGTCCAACTCAGATTTCATTCCCAACTTCGCTCAATTAGCGGCTAAACTGAGAGAATTAACGAAGAAAAACGTCAGATTCGAGTGGAACACAGAACACCAAACAGCCTACGAAGTCCTGATTGCGAGATTCAAGCAAAATACGCTGCTCCAATACTTCGAGATGAGTGCACAAACGTTTCTATTTACGGATGCACACCAGACAGGGCTCGGGGCGATGTTAGCGCAAGGCGACAGCATTGAGAACGCACGACCAGTGGCGATAGCATCGCGAACGACTAACGCAGCAGAGCGAAGATATCCGCAAATTGACTTGGAGGCACTCGCAATCGATTTTGCTTTGAGAAGATTTCGACAGTATCTCGTGGGTTCCCCTACCAAGATCCAGGTGATAACGGATCACCAACCTCTCTGCACGATTTTCAATGGAAAGCGCCAAGGGTCCATTCGAACTGACAGAATTAAGCTCCGCCACCAAGACATACGTTTTACCGTGACATACCAGCGTGGGAAAATCAACCAATCCGACTACCTCTCACGACATGCAAACCAATCGAGAAGCTGACGTGCCAGGAACGGCAAGAGGCCGACGACCTCAACAACCTACTGTATATGCTTCACACTACCCCGATCATCGACTGCATGGGTATTGGAACTATTGCACAAGCCACCCAGAACGATCCAACCCTCAAAAAGATTGCAACACTCGTCAACCAGGGGTTAACCTGGATCGAAAAAACAGAGTCGAAAGAAATCCAACGTTTCCAGAAAATACTTCCAGAGCTTACGATGACCGCAAATGGTATTATTCTGAAAGGCGAAAAGATCGTACTTCCAAGTAACCTCCAAGATACGGCCATCCGACTGGCACACAGAGGAGCTCACCCTGGCCAAAGTGGACTTGAACGACGACTCAGATATCATTTTTTCTTCCATAATATGAGTAAGAAAATAGAAGAATTCGTCAAATCATGCAACCACTGCAGTATGTTCATTGACAAAAAGACAAAAGAACCCATCAAACCACACCGGGTTCCCGAGAAATGCTGGGATACTGTATCAGTCGACCTATTTGGCCCGATGCCAACATCTAAGCACGTGGTCGTCGTACAAGACTTAGCATCACGATTCCCAGCCGCAAAACTGGTTACATCGACAAAGGCAGATAAAGTGTTACAAGCTCTCAGCGAAATTTATACAACGTATGGCAACCCCGAGGTCCAAATTTCCGATAACGGGCCTCCCTTCAATAGCGCTCAGATGCACGACTTCGCAACGAGTAAGTCCATCAAATTGCAGAAGGCTCCACCACTTCACCCATCCTCCAATCCAGTCGAAACGTTTATGCGTCCTTTGGGAAAGGCCATGAAAATTGCATATCAAACCAGGGCTCCTGAAAAAGAAACATTGGAGACAACACTAAACAACTATAGACACACACCTCACCCAGCAACGGGTATCCCTCCCGCAGCCATGATGTTCCGAGATGGACAGCGCCACGACTTTCCGAGAACTTACGCAACCGAAGAGGACGTGAGAAGAGCTCGGGAAGCAGACAAACAGAAGAAAACTGACAACGAAGAAAAAATAAACTCTTCTAAATACAGGAAGAAATCAAATTTCAACATTGGTGACAAAGTTCGTGTTAGAAATTACCGAAAATCGAGGAAGTTTGATCCCGTTTTCCTCGGTGAACCATTCACGATCATCGACATCAATGACGAAGGGAACAAACTCATTGTCGAGCATCAAGAAAACGGGTTTTCGTTGTGCCGTCACCCAGATGACGTCAAACCATTTATAGAACCAAACTATATCGAAGTCGAAGATGTTCAATGGCCAGTAGGAGATGAAGGAGACGCGGCGGAAGATCTCGGGATTGAAAAACGCGGAGAAACTGCACCAACACTGAGACGTAGCGAGCGGAAAAGCCGGAACCCCAATCCACGATACATTTAGATACGTATCATGAAGCTATTCATGAAACTGATATAAACGTGGGGATGATGAACTGATATACTTTATTATTAGTATTTATATTATGTTGAACAGTTTTAATTAGGATTAATAAGGACACTTAGGATTAGGCACGGACAGTAGAGGCATTGAGGGATACTGTGGGATAAAGTAGGATAGAGGGAGGACAAGATGGCGGCGTAAAGAATGTAAGCTATTTTTCGAGAGGATAAAAATATAACGTGTAAAAGTAAGAATATATTTTCTGGTAGAGAATGAAACTTGGGAACTACCAAGTTGAACTACCAGCTGGACGCAAATCTATCAGTTGCAAGTGGGTTTTCAAAGTAAAGCACGATGAAACCGGAAAAGTAGAGAGATTTAAGGGTCGTTTAGTAGCTAAAGGTTTCCTGCAGAAATATGGAATTGACTACGATGAAACTTACTCTCCAGTAGTTCGCTTCTCGTCAATTTGCGCTCTTCTGGCTTTCGGTATTTCTCAGCAAATGCTAATCCATCAAATGGATGTAGTGACAGCATTCTTAAATGCTACCCTTGATGAAGAAATATACATGCAACAGCCCGAAGGATATGTCCAACCAGGAAAGGAAGAGCTGGTGTGTCGCCTCAACAAATCACTTTATGGCCTGAAGCAAAGCTCACGCTGTTGGAATAACGTCTTCAAAGAATTTATGTCATTGGGATTTGTTCAAAGTACCGCAGACCCTTGTGTATTCATTCCCGTAATCGATGATAAGTTGGCGTTTGTCACAGTACATGTTGACGATCTCATACTCCTGACGCAAAGTGAAGAAGAGATGATCGATCTCAAAACTAGCCAATCAAACCACTTCAGGATGAAAGACATGGGCATACTCCATTATTGCCTAGGAGTCAGTGCAATAATGAAGGACAATGTTGTACAACTCAATCAGGAACAATATATCGCAAAGATTCTTCGAAAGTACAAATTAAAGAATTGCAAACCAGTGTCAACTCCAATGGATTTAAACGTCAAACTAGTCAAAGAGGATGGATGTAGCAAACCAGTAAACGCTGTTCAGTATCAATCAATGGTGGGGAGTCTTCTATACGCAGCAATAGCCACTCGTCCAGATATAGCCCACGCAGTGGCAGCGTTGGCAAAATTCAACTCATCACCGACCGAGGCACATCTAACAGCTGTTAAATGCGTTTTTCGGTATTTGAAGGGAGCTGCTCAGCTACAGTTGCAGTACCAAGAAATCGACACTCGTGTAGAAGGATACTCGGATGCAGACTGGGCTTCGGATTCAGATGACCGACAATCAACCTCCGGAAACGTATTTATGATGTCCGGTGTTACAATCAGTTGTACTAGCGAAAAGCAGCCAACAGTGGCTCTTTCGACTTCCGAATACATTGCATTATGTTTTGCGACCCAGGAAGCAGTATGGCTGCGACAATTGATGCAAGACCTTAAGATGAATTGTACCCCAGTCACAGTCATACACGAAGTTATCAGGGCGCTATCGCGATGTCCAGGAATCCAGTGTTACACAAGCGAACGAAACACATTGATATCAAATACCATTTCGTTCGAGAGAAAATTGAAAACGGAACAATCGAGTTGAAATTCTGTCCAACTAATGAAATGGTGGCAGACATTTTCACAAAGCTGCTACCCAAAGGACAATTTGAATATCTAAGAGGCAAGCTTGGACTTGTATAAACTTTTAAAATGACATATTAAGCGAGTGGGAGTGTTGTAAATAGCACTCAATAGTGACATTAATATTTATTGACATTAACATAAAGTACTTTGGTATATTAATCGCGGGCTCCTTTTTGTGCGTTCGCAAAACATTCTTGTTGTCTGGTTGAAATATATATTAATTTTACTCCAAGTGTTTCTTTCCTTTTGGTCTATAAATTTATCACAAATTCAACAAATAGGTCATCAATCACAGGAATTTGATAATGTTCCCTCTTTAATGCTGCATTCAAAGGTTTTGGATCTATACAGATCCGCAATGACCCGGATTTCTTCATGGCGACCACGATTTGGCTTACCCATTCAGTTGGCTCATCGACTGGGGTGATGACTTTCATATCTTTTAATCTTTCCAGTTCATTCTTAAACTTGTCTCGTATGGCCACAGGTATCTTCCTCGCTGGCAACACGATAGGTTTGCTTTCCGAATCTACTTGTAGGTGAACTTTGCCAGGTAATGATCCAAGTTTCTTATCAAATACTTCTGGAAATCTGACTATGGGGTCTTCGTCAGATTTCTCCACAATAAATTCTCGCTGTGTACTGTTAACAATTTCATTTGTTCGACCGCATTCAAACCCAACAATGGTGTGAGATCTTCCTCAACCAGGAATTTGAATTAATATTTCTCATTATTCTTTGGGTTTACCACTCGAAGGATACAAGCTCCGGCTGGTTTCACTTTTGTCCCATTCCACATAGTGAGTGTCTTTGTACACTGAGTCAGCTCGACATCTTCCACAAACTTTTGAGGTATAACATTCACACTTGCACCACAATCAAGCTGAAACTATATAATTTCCAGTTTTCAGCGATTTCACCACTGCTTCTTAGATCAAGAGACCGAGGCGGTAATATTTGATGAAACAATGCCGATTGAGCCGGTTGGACTTGTATTTCGCCTGACCGGCTTCGGGCTGTTGTAACATGCCGTAGACAGTATACTTTGTCAACAACAATAAATTTCTGAATTTCGCTTTAGAACTATTTCGATAGTTCTTTAAATCACCACTGCCACCATGTTATAACACTTAGTCGAAAGATTAAATAACGGTAAACAGAATCTTTGCAATACATTATATAGGGCCACTATGAATAAATTAACATGAATGAATAAACATAAGACAATACATAAAACCTATTATCACATCTTCCAATGTTGTTGAAAGTTTTAAACAGGCGTAAGAAGCACACAAGTGGATAAGGTGGCAACTGCATTTGACAGCGGTAACATGCGGAAAGTCCTTTTTAAGGAGCGTGGAGACACTAAGATTTTCCCCGAATATTACGGTACAAGTATCTGACGAGTAACCAATTATATTAGAGAGAGGAATACTTTTTTCCTCAAAGATTCCTCTTATCGCCTGATATAATCTGTGTGCACCAGAGTTTTCAACCTCCACAATATCCAGAAATCTAGTTACAGGTAACAAATCTGTTTCATCAACATACATCACACATAATGCCAACTGCTTCTCCGAGGAAACGTCTGTGGTCTCATCTGGTATTATGCTGAATCGTTTGCAGCACAGGATATCGATCAACTCTTTCGCATAATGCAGTCTGATGCCTTGGCGAATCACATTTGTGCATTTTGTTGCACCCATCTCAATTTCTCTAAGACTGTTTGCATCTTGACTATTCTTCGGACATCTTGCTTTTATAAAAGTATTTTGCGGTATTTTGACGCTCAAAACCTGAAATCTTTTCGTAGTACCGCTCAAAATTAATTTATTTTACCTTTATTCTTTAGATTGTTGTGAACTAAATTTTGAACTGTATTTGGTGAATGCAAAACACCAAACAAAGGAGTTATTACAAAATATAATGCGACTATCAACAATGTTATAATGTCAACGCCATTATAGCTGAAATGAATACAAAAGAAGCTTCAAGTCAAGTGTCATTTTCTTCTTGGCGTAACCTGAGAAATCTTTTCATTTTCATGATAATTTTTACTTTTTAGAAGTTCGTAAATTGGAAAAGCCGATGAAATAATAAATTCGTGATTCAAACCAAAAACCGGTATCAGGCAACTTGCATCCCACATAGTCGCAGCGAAAATTCAGAAAATTATTTAAAAAAATTACCAATTTTTCAACACTTCCAGTGTTGTTTACGACAAAAAATGGCTAGTAGTTTAGTAAAGGTATCAGTGGTATCTTTAGCCTAAAGCGCAAGTTGCCCATTAGTGCTCCGCACCGGTTCGGGGATAACACCAATATGACCTCTATTTTTTACTTATAAGGTGGTGCAGTATCATTAATGACGAGCGATGATCTTCAAGAGCTGGGCTTACATGCAAGGGGCGATCAAGCAAAACTTCGCGCATTCTGTTGTGGACAAGATGTCAGCAAGCATGGTTGGTGGGAATGATAGAGCATCTAAGATGAAAAGATTAAAGGAAATTATTCAAGAGGAAAAGAGCACCAGAACATCACCCAAACCTGGTAAAGAGAAATAAATTGTGTCCCAGCCCAAAAAAATGTCGAAACATAGATGGAAACATTCTAATGACGGAAAAGAGTACAAATTCAAGCAGCGCAAGATCTGTTTTTTCCTGCTTGTGAAAATGCTGAGGGGAAGCTCGAAGATTTAAACATTGAATTAGCAGACTTCAAAGATGACATTATTAGCATGACAGACAGCCTCTTTTCCGCAGCCGGTTACAAGGAAATGTATGGTTTACATACACCTAGGTTAGTATCTCATTTCACAGCACTCTCAGTTGCACTCACTTGTTAAAGTATAGGTGGAAATTGATCGAGCGCTCTTGTACAAGTGACAACCTGTTCTAGATCTGCCTTTCCCCGAATTCCAAACGAACACGGATGGGCGGGTGGGCCGTTACTGCTATCTTCCTGAGCGATTGATCAAATTTGTCAAGAATGCAGTGAGAATGCCTCCTATTTTATAGGATTCAAGGTCCCAGAGGGTTTACACACTTCATTAGAATGCATCATGCGTAAAATTCCTACTTTCACGCCTTTGTGCCTTCTTTTGAGTGCTGAAAATAGTCATGCTAACGGAAAAGAAAAGTGAAATGGCAATTGAATAAGATTTTTTGAAGAATCAGATGATGGAGAATTGATGAACTCTCCGTGGTCGTCATCTCCAGTTGAGGATACTGAACTGTCAAGCCCTCCAACATCCCAGTAGAGTCCCCACAGTTACCCTCTGATGATCTTCGCGAAGCGTCAGATTTGTTATGGAAACATCGATCGAGAAAGGAGACACTTATAATTCTTAT